CATTGTCATGCCTACTCAGAAAAGAGGGACTCAAGATTAACTAAAAACATCCTTGCTGGGCCAAACTGACCAAACCTGTCTTGTTATTATGCCATCTAACTGATTCATAAAGCATATGACATAATCCCCATCCTTTTCTTCTGAAACTTGCTTACTGTTAATATTCCATTTTTCTTCAAATTCATTTTATGAGGGTTCTCTCAAATGATTGTGGCTTCACTCTTCCATTATTATAACTTTCATTGGTGGGCGTGGTTTTAAAATTTGGTTGCATACCAAATGGAGGGACAGAGCCTACCAGCTGCAGGGGAGTACACTGTTGGGGGTGGGGGGAAGAAGCCATGAAATCCCTTCACCCATGCAATTGGAGCTGGCAAATAGTTAATTTTTAAAAGAAGAACTGGCACTTTGCTCCAAATTCTTAAAAGAAGAACTGGCACTTTGCTCCAGATTCTCCTGGGAGGAAGGAATTTGCAGGCAGGAAATTTGTTTTTTAAAAAGTTCTAATCACATCAAGACATTTGAGTGATTCTCCAAAAAGAGAAGCAAAAGAATTTGAGAATGCTTTAAAAAAAAAAAAGACATATACAACATTTTACATGACGTGTTAAGCCTGATTTATGGCTTACTGTGAATGTAGATGATGATGCCAGCTGACGCCTCTCTGGTTGACACAGCTGGAAAGCTACCACTGCTAGATTGTTCCATACTTGTAGTGTCATCTGTCCAAGACTTTCACCTGTCTTAAGATAATCAAACTTAAACACCCAGTTAGTGAAGATGGAAACTGGAGGCCAATTTAAGTCTTGAAGAAACCAGGGGTAGCAGGTTTTGAACCATGTGGATCAGGAGGATAGGAGGTTTGCACTTAACCATAACATTATTTCTCCCTCCCCCCAATCATTCTCAATTTTCCTTTTCCTCGATATGTTAGCTATCTTCAACACAGTCATAATCAGTATACACACTGGATGTAGTCTTTTGTATTTACTTATTATTTGATTTATACTCTGCCTTTCTACTCCAGCAAGCACTCATGATATTTCCATAGTTCAAGTTAGGAGACATGTAGGAGAAAGAACCCAACTATTACTTGCCAGTCCAATGTATTTAGATTCTCAAGTCTGGTGGAACTATCACAATATCTCTGGGAGAGGAGAAAGCACATTGGGATTTTATGTTTATAGAAAATGTGCACAGGGTAACTTGGAATCACTTGCTATAACTTAAAATCATTTCATCAGGGTGTGGAAGACTGTGCCCAGGTGAGTGATACTTGTCTATTCTATCTGTTCTTCAAATAATAATTGAAGAGCAGCCAAGTCCCTCTTGACTCCCTCTTCTTATGCTGAAAGCAGATCTAAATGGATCAAGGGGCCTAACCCTCTGAACAGTGTTTTTCCATCAAATCACTCTATCCCAGAAAGTTGTTTATTTTTTTAAAAAGCTCTCCCCTTAAAACATCTGTGGCAGCTATACCAAAAGGAAGAAAAGACAATGCAGCCCAACTTAACATTAAAACATGAACACCATAGAAACAATGTAATCCAAATCTGGGAGTGTGAAAATCCACTTCACACTCATTACATAGAGATGGATTCTTCCTTCTTTTTAATGAATGGAACAGCTGTCAGTGCTAAATGTGATTGAAATCTCTTGCTGCTCTGTCTCGAACATAGTGTTTCAATGGGGAGGCCAGAACAGTAGCTTTTAGAAGAATCAGTCTCCCAGAGATATTTCAGGCTACTTTTTCCCCCTCCTGGGAAAAGCATGTCTTCCATTTTTTTAAAAGTGTGGCTCAGCTGTTCGCCTTGCTGTGAATTTATGGATGGGTTTTTTTAACACACCTTTTTTGCAACTGCTTCTTAACGGTCATGAATCATATTATAGTTCTATTGGTACCCTGTTTTTTTTCCCCCCTCCGAGTAATTCAGAGCCATTTACTGATGGCTTCCTGGCAGCTTCCCATTAAGGAAACTTTAGACAGGTGTCCCATTTGTGAATCATCCATTAAAGAATGATACTCATCAAGGCAAGATAGTTGGGGAGAGCAAAGTTGTAGACAAGAAGGGATTGGTCCGATATTAAAAATCTTAACATTTATTACAATTAGGGCTGCAGCTCAATTAAAGAAATGTAATGGATTGGTGCCTGTAAGTCTTAGGCTGCAATTCTCATCTCTGTGGTTGTATCACAGGGTCTAAAGGAGTGGATCCCCTTGATCAGAGATTGAGCAGGAAGGCTTGCTTTCCAAGGAGACCAGTACATCATTAGAAGTTTCCCTGATGGGATGACAGAAATCTCCATACCTTGGTTTTCAGAAATCTGTGACAGCTACAGAGCTGAACTACTGTTCCTGTCACTCCAGACAGCAGGGACAAGAATATTGGGAATTGTAATTCAACAGCTAGTAGAATTAGTGGGAAAGATGGGACAGAGAAGTAGTGAGGAAACCAAAGAGGGAATGGGGAGATTAAATAAATCTCAAGCCTTCCCCTTTCTGCCCCTGGTTTATCTGCCACTTCCTCACTTGTGCGGAAATGGATTGCACTGCTTATTGATGAAGTCCTACAGTATTTGCAGACAGGTAAAAACCCACATTTGTGAGCCAGTAAAGGTATTTCTTGTCATTTAAAATAATGCACACCTGAATCACTTTAGCAGACCCTCTCCTCCCTATGTGAAAGTGAAGAAGGAATACTTCTTTAAGATGGCAAAAACCATTTGGAATTCTTTATCAGTATTTGTATCAAAAATGTTTAAAATGGTGTTTAATGAAGAGCAGACTTTGATGTCTTAAACATCTTTAAATTAAACTGCACTTCAGAAGTTGAGACGAAGTTTGTGGAACCGTTCTCATTAAACCTATCAGTGGCAGTTTCGCAAGAAGAATACTTGCTTCCCCCAAAAGCCTTTCTCAGTTTCTTCCCCCATTGCTTTGCCATGCTGAAGATGGTTTCACTGGCACCCTTGGGGGCCCTCTGGAAGTTGGAAGATCACAAGTTGCTGAGGACTGTCCTGCTCTGGCTTTTACAGCAATGTCTTTCCTGGAATGAGTTCTTTGGTAGTATCTTTCTCTTTGTCTGTTAGCAAAGCATCTAATATCCTTTATGCTTTTTGTTGAGCAGTGGTCACACAGTTTCTGAGTAGGTTGATGTCAGCCTTGTGTATAAAGCAAGTATGTGGAAAATAGAGTGATCAGTATGCTAGCACTGAACCAAACATGCAGCCGCCATTGGCTGTGAGCAAAGACGATTGAGAGGAATGGAGAGCTTAGGAGTCGGAAATATTTAGAAGTATAAGGCACTTGTAATTCCTTCCTTCTCTTCCTCCTTATCCTCCCTTTTTCTTTTGACAAGCAGCAGGAGCAACCAGACCATGTTCCCTTGCCCAAATGGCCTTGCCATGAGGCTAGAAGCTACCTCTTTCATGGCAGGGTCACTTTTGAGACAATCTGAATAGCTCCTCTCCCTATCACTGAAGTCACTTTTACTTTTTAAAAGGGGATGGAGGCAGAGCCATTGTTACCATGGAGAGGACCTTCCCTCCATAATTCTCTGAAACATTCTAGTCCCCACTCTTTCCAGTTGTGTCCTGACTTGGGGGGTTGGGGGGGTGAATCCCTGAAATAGAGCAAAGCAACTCCAGCAAGCTGATAGTCCTTCCATGTTTCCTTCTCCGTTGTGGCGTTACTGAATGCCTCCTTTCCATATGCCACAGACAGAGCTACCACTAGTGGTGGGGGAGAATCACATGGGTAAGTGCTACTCTGTGTCTTACAGTGAAATGGAAGAATTGGGTATAAAGCATTATTGTTACGCAGCAGGCTTTGAATGCTCAGCGTGTCTTCCCCAATCAAGCCAGAGGCATGTCATTCTGGCCAGCGTGGCCAATTGCGGAAGGGCACCAGGTTTCAGAAAGCTGGTTTAGCAGCACTAGTCTGAGCCTGAAGGATGTTAAATTGGCTTCAATTGCTCAAGAGCAATTGACAATCTCCTGAGAGCTTCTGTATGCTGCAGAATATAGAGTCTCTGATTTTATCTGGTTGCTTGCTCACTCAAAAGAACAAAAATGACACATGTGGATTGCTATCAGTGGGATCTGAAAGGCCAAATAAAAACATCTCTAAGCTTGCCAGCTTTTGCCACATAGCAGCTGATTGTCAAACACCGATGGACGGATGGTTAAAACAACAACAAAAAAGGAAGGGGCGCTATTAATTTTGTCAAGTGTGCAATCTGTGCCAAAACAGAGTTCACCTCTCTTGGTCCTAGGGACACAATGGAAGACGGTGTGAGACAGCAAGAAAAATGAGGGACTTTCAGGGGCAGCTGTGTTTTACTAACCCAGTCATAATGCCCCTAAAAATCCTTATTGTTCCTTGCAATGTTCAACTATGCTCTCCAGTCAAGAAAGACTTTCAAAGGTGAGTTTCATTGGGGAAAATCAGTTTCCATCAAACGGTATAAGGATACCCAGCTGTGGTCAAAGAAGAGTTGCAACCTCTTTCAGTCATCAATAGCACAGAACAGATGTTGAGTTTTGCTTTTCTGTTTTGTTGTTTTTGACAGGAACTTCCTCCCCTACAACAAACTTGTATTGAACAGACAGATACAATATTTATTAAAGAGTGTCACAAGATTTTTGCTGCGCTGAATGTAAATATACATGCATACCGATCGTGCTGTTCCCATTTGCAGTAAGCAGTGCTATGCAAAGTACAGAAAAGAAGTAAGACACAGGAAGCAAAAGAAATGAAGGACATGGGATAAGGGAAAAGAAGAAGAAAGAAATGCCACAATGTCAAGTTTATACCAACATTCTAGATATATTGCAGATACAGAGCAGGAGGCTACATCTCATAGACATCTATCATAATGGTTTGCCCAAACTTCAGCAGATTTCTTAAGAGTACATTGTGGAGCTCTGGAGCCTTTATACTATAGACCCAAAAGTTTGCCAGGCACCCTGCTGAACAAATGTCTTTTCCACGCACACAGGGTTTTGACGCACACATGGTGTTCCCCAGAAGAGGTCAGTCAGTGTCAGACAACCCCACAGAGTCCTTTGACCTGATTCCATCAAGTCCAGTGTACACGCCAGAAGGCCTTTTCTGCCTGAGAGCTACTGTACAACAGTTTATATCTCAGCTGGTTTCGTTTTTATGAGCTTGAAGCTGAGGTATGTTCCTCTGAGCAAGGTTGTGCAAATATTCTCTGCCAAGACTATTAAGGCCGTGCCAAGAAAAGCTGCATTTCTCTCCCCCTCTCTCCCTCTCTCTCTTTTTGTTTGTTAGGAAAAGACGGAACAATTTTATATATGCGCTTCTGATTTTAGATATAGATATGTAGAAATATATTTGCTTGCTAGCTAGCTCTTGGCTTCTGCTAGTCTTGAGGCAGGACAACATGAAGTACTCAGGTCTTTCTCCTAGCCACTAAGATGTTCAGCTTCCTCTCACATCACTGTGCACATATTTTCATACAGCCTTGCTGCTGAAAGCACTTAAAAACTGGTTGTTAAAATCCCAAATACTGTATCCATTCTTGCATTTTCCTGATGAATAGGACTGCAACACAAAAGATGGTTCTTAGGAAGTATTGGGAGCACCCAAGATCTATTTCTAAATTTCTTTAGTTTGCAAAGGGATCGTAACATCTGTGCTTGATGATCTCCTATCCTAGATTTCTTCTGGCAGCTAATCTATTTTACCCTTTTTTTGTTGGTCCCTAGGGCTCTGCTTCCAAGAAGCATTTCTTGACTGACGACTATACAGAACATAACAACTTGTACCCATGCTGCAAAGTTTCAACTGCACAGGGCAATCTTTTATACTAAATTCCCCAACCACTTTCCAAACTTGATGTTAATCCCAGAAAGGGAATGTCTACATGAGTGTCAATCTGGTATAGGCATGGAGAACCTGTCACTCTTTTGGATTTTGCAAAGTTACTATTCCTTTCATCCCAAACAGCATGGCCATGGAGAGGAAAGCCAGGAGTCATAACTCAAGAAGTTCTGGAAAAGCACAAATTCCCCACTCCAGATCCAGAGCTTTCTTTTTATTTTGGTTCATTTGGCTGACTCTTAGCTAAGGCTGTGGCTTTCCTGTCACTATTCTTACTAGAGATGAAAGTTAGAAGTTACTAACTTCTAAAGTTAGAATATTTGACACTTTAGATTAGCTGAAAGCAGTCTTCTTTAATCTGAAGCCTCCTAGATGAGATGAACTATAGCCTACATCACCCCTGACTGGCAATTGGGAATGGTGGGAGGTGTAGTCCTACATATTTGGAAGGCAGCTGGGACAGGGTGGTCTACAGAAATGAGATCACCCTGAAGAGCTCTATAGAAGCTGGTCTCCATCACAATATGAATGGATGTAACTTGAACAGGTAAGCAGAAAAGCAGCTGGTCAGCTGTTGGCTAAGGAAAGGATGCCTGAAGGACAACTTCACCTCCTCATGCTCACCTAGCCAACTGGTTATGCTATTCCTGTGCAGTGCTAGACGCTGGATCAATTACCTAGTTCAAGAAAGGACATATTAGTGCAACTAATTTTTTTATCAGCTAAGGGTACATGCACAGAATTCTACTTTTCCTAATTATATCAAGTCAGTTGCTGCTGGCTATTATAATGTGCCGAAAGCATTGTTGTATGTCAAATGCTTCCAAAATAAATACAACTTAAAATAAATGCTTGGGATTTCTCAGTTCATTGTATTTGTACTCTGCTACTGTCTTCCAGGAAACTCAGTAAAGCAGATATGAGATCATTTCGTTTTGTCTCCATGAAGCGGGCTATTTTTTGAGCAGTGGGATCATCCACTGAGAATTATAGCTAAGCCAAGATTTGAATCCAGACTTCCCAGATGAAATCTAGCATCCTACGAAAATAAAATATGGATAGGGTTCCCCCGCCCCCCCAGGATTTCTTCTCACTAGACGCACTGTGGGGGAGGGAACAGAGAGAGGAAAAGGTATTTCGATGTTAGTGACATGCTCATTCTCTGAGCAATATCAGTCCTCTGAAAAGGTCTGATGCAGGTTAAACTGGTTGTTTCCAAACCACAGTGTAACATTCAGTCTTGGATGTTACTTATGAATTGCTTTCTACTTGGATATATATACTAAGTATTAAGTGACATGTCAAGGAGAGTAATCCCATCTAACCCCAGTGATGTCTTCAGGTAATCAAATTCTTTGTAAGCAAAGGTGAAAGCATTGAAGAATTTTTTTACTTAAGGGGGACTCCACTGAGCATGTTATGACTAGGAGGTTTCTATAAAAAAAATGGGTGGAGCCGAGCCTGTCATCCTGCTAATAATACTCAGATGCACCCCAAAAGATGGAATTGCAGTAAATTCATGGTCGACTGAAGAAAGCCATTGAGGCAATACATAATTGAGTTGTGGGGGTTTTTTAAACGGCTTCTTGTACCAGTATATATGTATATAAAGTTTTATACAGCTGTTTCAATAAAGGACAATTATATTTCATTGTAATCCATACATAATTTACAACAGTAACCAACTTATTCATCACAAATAACATCAGGTTTTCAAGGCACTGAGTAACTGGATGCATAAATTAATCTTTCCAGTGTTGAAGAACTAACATGCCATAAAATGTGCTAATGTCTGGTGTTCTTTTGCCCCTCTGGGAGAGATGGGAGTTGTAGTCCAACATGCCTGAAGTTGGGGAAGGCTGGTTTAGAGGCTTTAAAGAGCAAAGTCAGAAATGAGGATAAGGTCCTGGTGTATACTTGCAAAGAAAGAAAAGTCTGTCTCAGGTCAGCTTCATTTCCCAAAACCATGTAGTTTTCTTGGCAACAATATGGAAATAATTTGCTAGTGCCTTCTTCTGGGATTTATTTATTTTTTTAATTCCAGTTAAGCCATTGGCTCTAAATGTTCTGCTGGTCTCTCATCCTGAGACTAACAGGTTAGCTTTTTGAGATCAGCCCCGGTTGGTTAGGTGCTACCAGGTAAAGAGAGCTAAAGTACAGGTAAAGAGAGCCTCCATATTTATTTGCAGCCTGCTTCTAAATAGGTCTCTGGACAGAAGAGGTGGGGGGCTCTGATTAATCCAACAATGTTTCCAGGTGTCTGGTTAACCAGATGCCTGGTTGAGAACTTCCACCAGACATTTGGAACCAAGTTGTTGGATTTGACGGGCTTTCCAAATTAGCTTTGTCCCCAGAAAAGTACTGTCTGAATTTTGACAAGGAGGGAATGAGCAGGGAATTAAAGCAAAATGGGAGCCATAAAGAGAGGGTGGAGGGAAACATCTCAAAAATGTCTATTTGCACATTTAGTTTAGAATGTAATCTTTGCCCACCGGCAAACCCTTTGAGTTTCATAGTTACTGTCCCATGCAGACATGTATAAGTTTGCAAACTTTGACAGTTGTTGAATGCTAGTAGAGCAAACAGTCTTCAAGCCTGTGTTTCCTTCTTTATTCTCTGTAGCTTAGGGTCCATGGCATCTTGCAGTCACTCAGAGTTGTTCTGGAGTTGGGCGACACCAAAACCTAAATGAATAAAATCTGCATCTTCAAATTTTGGGGTGCCACTCCCACCCACCCCGCCTCAGAGAACATATTGCCTCTTTAGCAAATGCTCTCACTAGAGTTTTTCTCCACCTACTGTCTGGAAATGTCTCCTATTGGTACAGAGGTGAGAAGGAAGGGTCAGTCTGTTTTTCTTGGCAGAGTCTGTGGATGTGATTAGCTTTATCTCTGTTTGAGTTGTGCTGAACACAGAAGAAGGAGCATTACCTCACTGTGCATCAGGCTGCAGACCAGAAAGCCATTACTCTCACATATTTTTAGTGCTCCAAACAGGAAAAGGCCTGCCGTAGCTATGGATGTTTGATGATGCTTTCCTTTCTGCCCTTTGCTTTCTCTTTGCAGTATCATATTTATCCTCTTGTTGCAAGGCACCGTAAAGGCAATGATGACCCTTTGTCTGGAAAAGGAAATGATCGCTTGTTGTTCCTTACGTGGGAATAATTTTCTTCGGCTTCCTTTGGATCATAAATCATATGTGGCTGCTAAGACAAGGAGGAACGCTGGTGACTTGGCCTCTAAATCTAGACAGCGTGATTCCTCTTGGAAACCAGGATTATTTCTGGTGTCAATTGCAGAGAAGAAAATACTTATTTTTCCCCACACCTGGATGTTGAAATCCTTTTTTTGGAAGCGGGGGTGATTGTATTTTGCTGTACAGATTTTTTTCAATACAGTAAATGAGTTGTTTCTCTACTGTATGTGTTTCTTTACCTGGCCCACTTAGTTCAGTTGTTTAGTTGAGAGGTCAGAAGTCTCCAACTTTGGGGGGCTGATGGACCCACTTGGAATGTTGAAGGTGTATTTTGGGTTGTCCCACAAAATGATTCCTGTGGAGGGCCTGGCCAGGCACCAAACATCCATTTATCAGGCAGCAAAGTGAGAAAAGCTTGTGCTTCACCAGCCTCTAGACTCCTGAGATGCTCTTTGCCATGTCAACTTACCTTGGTTTAGATTTTCTGGACAAGTGGGCACATTCTCCAACCTGTCCCTGAGCTGCACTATTTTTATAGCACACTCCCTCCCCCATTTCTTTATTAAATCACCCCTACTCTCCAAATCAATAGGGGCAGGGACCCTGCTGGGTGTCAAGGCAGGGGCTGATGAGCACCTGGTATCCACCAACCTCACACTGGGGGACAAGGCTGCCTCCAGGAGTTAGACTTCTATGTATCTGCCAGCCTTCCTCTCCAAGATTCAAGATCATTCTGGTTCGGCACCCCAATTGCTCTATATTAAGCAAAGCTCTGGAGACAGATCTTTTACACAACTGGACATCTCACACTGAACACATAGCCAATTCTGGGCAATACAACCAGCTCTGAATGGGGTTGTGATCAGAGGTTGGATTGAGCCACACATTACTGCAGGCCTGAAAGAGCCTTATTCATGGGCTAGTCTTTCATGTGACTGCTGTGTGAATAGGATATTGCGTCCTTTTCATACAAAAACTAAGTAACTGGGTTCTGCCATCTTACTAACCTGTGGTTTGCTTTAGTCACGGTTGGTGGAAGAAGCCACAGAGGCCTGCTTCACACACCACACTAAGCCGTAAAGCATGGCTCTTAAACTGCAACCACTTCATTCATACAATATGTACTCCCAAGCAAAGTGCCTTTAGCATAACGGGGGAATCTCCGTTCTGTTGACAATAGAAGAAAGAGATCTGGCAGCAGGGGGAACTGCGGATGATGCAAAAGACATTCTTCAGCAGTCACCACTAGATCAAGGCACTTTTCTGTTTTCCCAGACAATTTAAGCACTTCAATTGAAAAATAGCTTCAGGTAAGTGTTTTTCTTGCAGTGATTTCACTGGTAGCAGAATAGGAAGCTGTGAAAACATTGTTGCATGTTCCATACATTCCCAACACAATGCTTGTATAAAGCTAACAATTGATTACAGAACATTCAGCAGATTAATCATCAGCTTGTTGACAGATGTATCAATTAATTCGTTGGTTGGATGTTAATATGTTATAGCAGAACATCAATAAAGTTGCCATTCAGAAATAATCAGGGAGGTTTAGAATACAATACAATCAAGAGAAACTGTCATTCTTTGCTGAGATTTTTCTCTCGCTCTTATTTTCTTTTGCACTTTCCTCTACTATACTGTATTGTAGCGGAACCAAGCAGCCACTCCCCCAGTAACATCTGTAACGTTCAGATCTGCCGAAAGTTTAAATTAAATGTTATTAACTGATTAACCTAAAGCTTTAATTTACTAATTGATACTTCTTTTTTTAAAAAAGGGCTTTATTGTTTCATTATTCATTAAAATATTTTTTATAATTTTTTTATTGGAGGTAACAGTCCTAACTCAAGTTCTCAGGGAGCTGCAGTAAGGGAAAGATGGAGGCACCTGTCGATGTGTTTCCTTCTGTTGATGTAAAAAGCAACCACTGCAGATGGAAAAATTCCCCGTTAATCTGGCAATTTATTCACAAGAAATCACTAGACTGGAGCAGAATGTTGCCTTTTCAGTGGTTGGTTGGTTGGTTGGTTGGTTGGTTGGTTGGTTGGTTGG